TCTTTCTCATTTTTTATTTGCTTCAAAATAATAAAAAAAAGAAAAAGAAAGAAATTAAGTAAAAAAAAAAAGAACTGTTAGGAGCTCTGGGGTTTGAGAGTAGGTGAACTACAATGGTAAACATTTCTTACGGAGGGTTTTTGGAGCAATAAGCACTGGGCAGCAGTGGCCCTGATGGAATTTTGAAAAGTCCTGAGAAACTACAGGTCAGGCAGGGAATATAAAGGGGCATGAGAAAACTTGAGGCAACAACTAGCAGTATATGATCTGCCAACCAAGCATTCATTTTAAGGCTGTTCTCCATTCCGTCATCTCACCCAGGCACCATGAGTAGAGGTGGAGGGAATTTTTGCTGGTCACAATGACAAAGGAATCCTCATGCAGTTCTTCTGTGGGAGAATGGCAATGGCCACACACTTTACAAGGTACCAACAGCATTCCTGCTACATTGATGCAAAAAGTTCCATGCTAACTCCAGTGAAAACCACTGCCAAGGGCAGTGTTTAGAGCTATACAAATGGAAAGGTGGGATATAGTTTTTTAAAACAATCATCACTGTCTTAGAGTGACATAAGGTTCTGCATAAGGGCTGTTGTCACTCCAAAGGGACACTGCTGGTGTCCCAAGTGAGTCTTCTTGGAGCCTGAGGCAGGAAGATGACAAGATGACAGATATCGGAAGATATCTCTGGTGGGTTACAGTATAGGTTGTTAGTGGTGCTACTACTGAATGCGTGGAATCCAAAGCTATTCTTTCACTTCATTGTCTCCTCAGAACTCCACTAGGCAACAGAGAACTGTGTAATCACAAACATCAATAGACTTCTGGTGGAGAAACTTCATTGAAAACTTTTTCATATCTACAGAAATATGGTAAATATTTCAATGAAAAATATTATTACAGTAAAAGACACATTGCCTTGAATCTCCATCACTATCCTCCCTCTTATTTTGCACGCACTTGTTCTGAAGCTCGTGTCTGTTTCTAAAGCAGTCGTGGAAGTTCTCTTCCACGAATGGTTTTAATTTCACTGTTCTGGCTTCCTCAATGCTCTGAAATGACTAAAAATGTTCACCTTTCATGGCCATTTCGACTTGAGGAAAGAGCCTGAAGGAACCGGGTTCCAAATCTGCTGAATAAGCTGATGAAGACATAGCCTCGTATTTTCACAAGTCTGCCTTTCCGCTCCACTGGACTGGTCAGTAACATTCACTGTAATTTAAGCGATAACTTGTACAGATATTCGTGAAAGAAGACTTCCAGAACTGTTACAGAAAGCGGCAAGAATGATGCGATAAGTGTATTTGAAGCCAGGGGCAGTACTTTAAGGGGGATTAATGGTAATATTTTTGCAGTAATTTGTACATTTTAAACAGTCACCATATATGTTAACAGTCACCACTTCTATATAGCTCAACAAATTATAACTTGCAGGCTATTAGTCCTAAAGACTTGCATAACATTTCTGTCAAATGCTGCTGAGTACGTGGAAGAATGCACAGTGAACACCCTTGCTAATCCTTTGCAGGTCCCATGAACTGCAGAAAGGTCAAGGCTGTCAGTGACAGTTAAATACTTCTCACCAGAAGTGGAGAAATTCTATTTGTGTGGATGCAGAAACAACAGATTTGGTTGTTGAATTTCTCTCAACCTTTAATTGGATATATTTTGGCAGGTTTTATGGGCTAACAATGTATTTTTCAAAAATTTCTTTGATGTTGTGCTTGGAAGTACTGTAGTTGTAACCCTCCAACTTTTAAAATATTTGTTGTCTTTGTTCATTTTAGTTTAACTTTCACTTCCTGATGTATCTTGAGTGTAATATTTATTCATATCAATCCATCCATCTATCCACCCACCCACTATCCATCCACTCAACCATCCATCCAACCATCCATCCACCCACCCACCCACACATGAATACATCCATCCTTCCACCCACTCATCAATCCACTCATCCATCCATCAATCCATCCATCCACACATCCTTCCATATGTATATACATATGTACCTCAATAATATTTGTTATCCACCGTCCAATGGCAGCTTAAACCATGCCCATTTGGTGTCTCCAAGTCTATGTGGGTCAGGATTTGAAGATTCTAGTTGGGTTCTATGCATTGGAATTCTCTGCAATCACTTTAACAGACAAGATTGTGCATTGTCGTTTGAAAATTTTCTGGGGAAATATACACATGCTCACTTGATTGTTGGGAAGATTTGGTTTCCTATAGGCTGTTTCCCTGAGGACTTTAATTCTTCATTGACTACTGGTGAATAACACCACCATTTACCTTGTAGGGAAGTTTCACAATGAAGAAATTCATTACAATCAAGTCAGCAGGAGACAGTCAGTTCCCCAGGTAAAAGTTACCAACTTCACCATCAAATCATGCATGTGACATCCCTTCATAGTCAAGAAATTATCTTGGTTAAAATCAAGTTTGTCTAGATAGAGGTAGACAAAGAATGGATTATATTGTAGTGTGGAAATTAAGTGTCCCTGAAGTCCATGTGTTAAAGGCTGGATTCCCTGAATGGCACCAGTGGGAGATACTGGAATCTTCAAGAGGTTTCAGTCTGTAAAAGAACATTAGATCGTGGAGGTCACACTATCTAACGAGACATTGTTATCCTATTCATTGTTTTTTTTCCCTCTGTTTAGCTTAATGTCAAAGAACTGAGTAGTTTTGTTTTGCCGTATACTCTTTTTTCTGTAATGTTCTGCTTCACCAAAGTAAAAGGGACAGTTAACCATGTACTAACACCTCCAAAACTGTGAGCCAAAATGTATGTTTTTGCTTTACACATATATTATCACAAGTATTTGTTATACTGACAGAATATTAACATAAAATTAGCATACACATATATGTGATATATGGTACATATCAAATATTATTCATATGTAATTTTATATGTAATGTTTATAGATAACATAACCTATAGCTAGTGTGCATTGTATATTTTTCTATATATAGAATATGTCATCTATATTTTCAAATTGGGTTTCTTGCAGTCAGTTTACATACAACTCAGTGTCCCTTGAAAGCAAACCAACAGCTGCCACTACAACACACATACTTTATTTATGGGATCTGTACACCAGCTTGTATCATTATTTGCAGCTTCATGGTGACACAGAAAAATAAAGTTCACGTTTACTTAAAAAATAGTGTGAGCTAAGCATTTAATACACACAACTATTTCTATTATACTAAGAGGCTGAGGCAGGAAGACTGTAAGTTTAAATCAAGCCTGGGCAAATTAGCAAGAGCTTATCTCTAAACCCAAAGAAAGGAAGAAGCTTAAGAAGAGCTAGGGACATAGCTCAGAATAAAGGCCCTATGTTTACTCCCCACTATCATAAAATGATAATATGCATTACTACAGCCACCTCTCCTGTTAAGGCTTCAATGCTCACATAAACATGTTTCTATTTTTACCCTTTAAAACTTCTATACTTTAATATGCTTTATATTTAGAACACTATAGAATAACAGAAAAAAATTCTGAAGCTAGTACAGACAGGAGTCTATGCCCTACACACAGGCCTATGTATGATTAATCTCTCCTATTTGTTTCATTCTGAGTGCTGCAATCAACAAACCACTATTGACATTTTATAATTAAGTGAAATCTGTACTTGTGCTTTGGTATTTGTTACCCTATCTCCTTTCTGTTTCCATCTGAAATATCACCTTGCACAGCTGTAATGGTTGATATATTGTGTCAGCTTAGGGAATCTAGAGGTTTGGCTAAGTGACTCAGCAGGGAGCCAGGGTGCTTACTTTGTGTACATCCCCAGCCTGTGCAAGAGGAAAGCATACAGAGGATGTGGGTGTAGAGGACCACCCACAGGCTCCCAGGGCCCTTAGGTTGCATAAAAAAAAAGGAATTGTGGAAGGACTGGCTGCTGGTTCTTCAGAGCAGCTCCGGTCTTCACCTTCAGCTTCGTCATCTCCTGGCTTCCGGTGCAAACTATTCAGCTTCCCCAAGGCACTCTTCAGCCTTCTGGTGTAGACTCTCTGGCCTTTATCATAGATTCTTCAGCATTCAGATGTAGACTCTTCAGCCTCCTGATACGGATTTGCAAGTATACTGCAATGAGCTCCAGGCCTGGGGCTGGGCTCTTCAGTCTCCAGGCTACAGACACCTGCTGCACACTGCCTCCTCCAACTCTGTGGCTGACCATTGTAAGCCAAACTTGCAATTTCTTCTACATTTGTACATCTTTTATTATACCTGTTCCTCTAGTAAACCCTGACTAATACATCTTAGAAATTTCCTCCAACTCCTTAGGGCTGAGAAATTTTCACCTTTTTTTTTTTTTAATCATTTGAGAGTTTGGGAAAGGAGAAAGAGCCGTTTCTTCTGTAGAATGTCCCTAATTTAGGACTTGTCACATTTTTTTCATGGTAACCTGGGGCCGTGTGTGTTTTGGCAGGAAGTCCACAGAGAGGAAGTGCCGTTTCTGTCATCACAGCAGTGGTTCAGACCAGCAACATAGCTCCTCAGTTTTCATGCTGACCTTTATCATTTGGCTGAGTTTGTGCTTGGTAGATTTCTCCACTGAAAACTCACTCATTTCTCTGCCCCTTCTGTATTAGTCAATTTTGGGTCACTGTGACCAGGTTACCTGAGGTCCCCCACTTAAAAGAGAACAGGTCTGGTTTTTCCTCATGATTTCAGAGGTTTCAGTACATGGTTAGCTGGCTTCAAGGCAGAAACACCATAGCAGGAGAGTTTGGTGGAGGATAGATGCTTGTATCATGGTAGTCAGAAAACAGACAGTAGGAAAAAGAAAAAAGAAACAGAAAGGAAGGAGGAGAGGGTGAGATAATCTCTATAGAAAGCACACTGCCCCAGTACCTCCTTCCTCCAGCTGATCTCTACCTCCTACAGGCCACTCAGCTGTGAGGTCATCAATGGCTGGTTATGAGGTCCGCACCTGTAGAATCCAATACTTCTCTAGGCCACGCCCCCAAACATGGCTGCACTGGACATCAAGACTTCTTAGTACAGAGGCTCCCTTCTCCCTCGAGCTCTCCCTGACTGGACGTTTCCACCATGGCCTTTACTGCTTTGCAACTAGCTGACCAAGAACTGAAAGTCAGACTTGAGAATGAAGCTCTCTTCCTTTAAATTGTGAGTGTGACATATTGTGTCCCACAGCCAAGAAAGTGACAAAGACAACTGCCTTTGTTATTCTGTTGCTCACATTTGGTACTTCTGAGGCCTCTGAGCATTTCTTTAGTTGCCCCGTATGTCCCATGGACACATCCTCACCGGTGTACTATGTTTGCCTTTATATCTTTTGTTGGTTTTATTGGATTATATAGTACTTTCTACCACACTGTATAAATATGAATGTACATATATCAAAATATATCATGTAATATAGATCTCTGGTATGGTTTGTGTCTGGGTGTCCCCCAAAACCTCATGCAATCATGGCACAGGCTTCTAAAGTTTATGACTGACTAATGGATGTGAGTGAAACACCCGCCCTGGGGCAGGTATTTTGCATACAATGTAAGGGAGGGAAAGAGCCTGCTAGGGGCCACCCCTTCCTTTTGCTCTTGTTGCTTTTGCTGTCTTCCTCCACCATGAACGTTTGCCCTCTGCCACGTGCCATTCTACCTTGGAGCCAGCCAAATATAGACTAAAACCTCCACAAAGTGCAAGCAAAATAAACCTTTTCTTCCTCAATTTTGGGTGTCAGGTATTTTTTCCCATCAATGAGAGAAATGTACCCAAGACGATCTCTATCAGTATATCTCCGTAGGTATTCATATCTTTGTCATTTTCATAGGTCTCTATTTCTGTATGATACAGAGGGTTTTTTTCTTCCCAGTATAGTTGATAATAGTGATATATGGATTTCCATATGGAGAAGGACACAAAGATGTATCCATTAAATAGGCCTTTATGTATCTACTTATCTATCTATTATATAACACCTACTGCGTACAATTATCCATCTACATTTGCCTGTGTGTCATCTACTTACCTCTCTATGTGTACCTACATCTGTCTATATTTAACATCTGTATTTATTCTTTATCAACATCTACTATTTATCTGCCTCCAACTCCAATCTCCATATCTGTATCTATCTATGTATACTTATTTTTCTCAATAATTTTAGATGAGATCAGCTGTGCTCAGGGTGGTAAGGCCATAGACAATAATTGCAAAAATACTACTAACTCAGAGAAAGAAGATTTTATGTTTCTCCCCATTGTTTTAAAGTGTGGTATATACTGTTGTTTGTCAAAGGGATATAATCATTTTGAAAGATTTTTCATTAAAATGTCTGAGGCAGTAATTTTGAGAGCATCCCTTCAAGACACCATTTTTAATGAGCTCTATTTTCGACCTCTGATCTAGGATTCGTATCCTTGATTTTCTTGCTACAACAACACTTAATGGATTTCTCATCATCCATGAATGTAGGGAAATCGTGGAGCTTGAATACTTTTTAAAAACCAGGGCCATTTAAAAGTCATTTAGGCTAATCATGCCAGACAATGAAATAATAACCAAGGACAGGATTTAAAATAACCAGATGGAGGGGCTGGGGATTTAGCTCAGCCGCAAAGCGCCTGCCTGGCAAGTGCAAGGTCCCGAGTTCGGTTCTTAGTACCAGAGAAAAACCAAAAAATAAAAAAAAATAAATAAAATAAAATAAAATAACCAGATGGAAAGTCAGTGCAGTTTGTAGGTGTTATATAATTCATAGTGTTTTATGGGTTTGAGCTAACAAAAATTAAAAGACCAAGTCTATCTGAAGTCAGGAGAACACTGACACCCAAAATGACAGCATTGTTCCCATTTTGCAGATGCAAAGGTTGGATTTGGGGAACACACAACTTCCTAGTGGAAAATATAAGTTGTAACCTATTCTCTTAAAGCTTTATTAAGCTTTAGACAATGTTTATGATGCCCATGAGAATTAATTAGAACAGGTCTATATCTCTCCCAGGAGAAATTTTACATTTACATATCTGAAAAGTACACACATTAGTAGGAGAAAACTTCATTTAAAGGATTGATGTTAATTTGAAATTCATAATAATTCACCTCCAAGTGGTTTAGAGTTTACTTTGTATCACTGAAAGAAAGAGGTGTATTCAGTAATCTTAGAGTCTAAAATAAGATACAATGGAACTGGTTCAACTAGAAGAGAACAGATATTTCTGGAGTCTTCAATAGATTACTCTTATTCAATTTATGTTATTGATAATTATATATTTTAAGCTAGTTAAAAAATCCAACTTGGAGCTAATACTACTCAAATATTTCCTCATAAATTGAGTGTGTTACATACTCTAGTTACACTAACTATATCCAATATGTATTTGTAGACAGATATAGATGTAATTGAAAGGTCATTTCTTATCCTATCCCCTCTGAAATTTATTAAACTTCATCCTCTGCAATTCAAGTCTTATATAAATATGATCACCCAAGGCATTTACCATGAACACCCTGGATGGACTTCTTTTTCTTTTTTTCTTTCTCCCAAGGCTCTGTACACAATTGTAAATGAAGGCCAGAAATACCATAAATAAACTCACAGATAAATACAAAGAAAACAGGACAGTTCTGATAAGAGCCATGAATAAAGAGTTTCAGAGTTAGCTGAAGGCAAAGACCACATTTTATTTATCCGGCCTTGGCATTTTGCAGAGCTCCTGGGGATCAGTGACTCTTCTCAGATTCAGTTCCAGAGAATAAGTGAATTTGAACAATGATCAAGAAACTACACTTCAAAATGACCCTCCCCTAACCCTGCTACTTTTTATTTACTCTTGTGATTTTCCTTTTTCTCTGTGTAAAACTAAAATTGTAAGTTCCACTGCCTCATCACAAGCTTACTTATGGTCCATTTAGACACTCATTTGAAGTTTCTGAATGAAATGAAGCTTCCAACATGCAAACTTCTTCTCCCCTCGACTTTTAAGCCCAAATTTGAATCCTTTCTGCTCTTTGTTGAGTTGAAGAAGGTCCTTCCTGGAATCCACACTGTGTTTTCTTTTACCAAATCTTGTTCTAATGTCTGTATTTTTCTTTTTACCATCAAGACCCTGGTCAGGGTTGCTCCATCCAAAGTTTTAACCTAACTCTTTCTTCTACCTGATGTTTTTATGCATCATATCCATGAAGTGTGCTCTCAGACTGGACATCTCACCCTATGCTCCTGTCAAGACCAAATGTTCCTCATCCCCACCCGCAAGCTCTCTGCATAATTTGCATTTCTACAAACCACCATCATCTGAAGCCAAAGTCTCCATCTTTCCAGTGGTAGAGTTTCCTTCAATTGTACATATTTTAATTCTCCCCAATCTTTTTATTTTTCAAAACCAAACAAATCTTTTATTCGCTTCAGTTATGCAAAGCAACATATTTTCAATCAGCTCTTATGATTTGTTTTTTTAATAACTATACTGGCCACAGTCTAACATTTGCTTTTAAATTTTCACTCAGACTGACCTAGTTTACAGATGTTACAAAACGTGTCCTCTCATTCCACAAGTTCCCTGCCATGAAGCTTTAGAAATCAACCCATAAGAAATGCTGGTGAGGCTGTGGAGAAACAGGAACTCTTCTCCACTGCTGCTGGGAATGCAGACTAGTGAAAGCACTGTGGAAATCAGTTTGAAGATTCCTCAGAAGCTATCTTTAAATTGCCTCAGAGTAAACAAACATAAATTTGAACCCTTCTCTCACTTAGGGCAAGACTAGAGCATTAAGTAAGTCAACTTCATGAATTTTCATCACTTCCTATAGCTCCGCTTATCCTTCTCACCATTCTCTCCTGTCCTGTGCTCTATGTCTGTGACTCTGTTAGCAACTCTCCACCGTTGGTGTTTTCAGAGATTAATTTCTGTGCTACTCTCATTTCACAAAGTAACCTTAAACTTGCAAAATGCAAATTCCTGGAGCACCCTCTAGACTTATTAAAGGTGAGTGCCCTTGTTAAGTTCTGGATACTTTCTTTTTTCAAACGATCTACCTGATTATCCCTTGTGTACATTGAGATTTCAAACCCTCCTTCTATGTTCTATTTCTCTTTTCCAGACTTCATCTACTTGAATTAATTTTGTACCTGCACTCTCTCCTTGCCTGTGAAAAGCTTGTTTATCTATGAAGGACTTTCTCATCACCCTAATAGGAAACATGCCATACCTCTTGTATGCTTTTGAAGGATAGATCTTTCTCCAAGTGGAAAGAGATCAAGAGATGGAGGAAGAGGGGAAGGCAGAGAGAAAAAGAAATGAAGAAAGGAATTAATATGTGCCGTGAACATGTACCAACTCCACTCCAGGAAAGTAAACATTAGACTTTGTAAATATGTGAAAAAAAAAAAAAAAAAGGGAGATAAAGAGATTTAGAAATAGCCCAGGAAGGAGAGTCAAAGGTGGGTAAAAAAAGTATTAATATGTATTAAGTACAACTACCAATTAATCATGACAAATATAAACATTATGTACTGCAAACATGTAATAAAATGCCATGTGTCATGTACTACACTGGAATTTAATAATTGTTTACACATCAATCCCTTTGAGTTGAGCACGTCTTATATTACATGTACTTATTTCAGTAATGTCCACTAATTAATAAAATGGTGTCCATTGCCATCACACCAAAAATCTTAGTCTGCTTAGTCATATTTCTGTTTTATTTTAACCATGACATTTGTAAAGTTCCTGAGAATTAGGATCACCCACTTGTCTCTCTGATATTACCAATGTATTCATTAGCTTTCCATTACTATGAAAATTATTCTAAGATCATTTTAAAACAAAAGAGATTCATTTTGACTTACAGTTTCGAAGGGTTCATTCCATGGTTTCATGGCACCATGGTTTTTGTGTCTGTGGTGAGACAGAAGCATAGCTAGAAGCTGCTCATGTCATAGTCGACAGCAACTAAAAAGAAAGTAAAAGCAAAAGCCACACATTCATACGCTTTCCACGGTATGCCTCCACTAATCCATGCCCTGTCTCTTAAATTCCACATCTCCCAATGACACCAAGCTGGGCAATATAGGAATCAACAGTAGAGTCTTTGCTGAACTTTCTACATCTGAATTACAGTAACTAAACTATATTTGGAGTTGAAAGCATCACGTGTACCTAAAAATGAACATGATACTAACATGTGCCTCTTGTCTATAAGACAACAGAAAGGACAGGGAGAATAGGTACACTAGCACTGGCTGTTCCTTACATTCCCTACTCATCTCGCTTCTGTAGCTTACTGCTTTATATCTTTGAAGACTTTCCCCCTCTTCTCGTAGTACTTCATGATTACATACAAAGCATAGCAAGAAGAATGATAGCCCTACGTCTTCCACAGACCTGGGTCTAAAACCCCACAGCTCCTTTGACTGGGCCCCATTCCACTCCCTCAGATATTAGAAGTCACTACGGTTTTCCCCTGCTTTTTCCAGTCTTGGTTTCCCACAGAGCATGTTCTGTTAAAGGCAATTACAAATGCTTGGACTGTCACATTCCCTTTTCTTAAAAAGAGGATTTTGTCCATCTAAGATGCTTGCAAATTTTTCTTTTTCATTTTCTATTTTTTTTTTAAATCCCATTTGGGTCACTTGGATGGAAATGAAAATGTGCTTGCCTACCCTCCTACGTGGTCTGTCTCAGGGAAGACATCTGCTACTCCACCAGCGAGCCTACGGATTAAGCCTGAAACTGAGATATGGTCCATGGCGTAAACTGTCCCTCTTAAGCTACTTTATTTTGCTGTTGCAAAGTAGACATGACCTCTTTTCCACGTAGCAAGTTGTCTGTTTCTTCACTTTCTTTCCCTTTCTTGTTTTTTTCTTTCTCATCCTTCTCTTATTCCTCCTCCTCCGTATCCTTTCTCCTGTCCCACCCTCTCTGTTTCTCTCTGTCTCCCTCTGTCTTTCTCTCTTTCTCTCTGTCTCTCTGTCTCTGTCTCTGTCACTGTCTCTCTCTTTCTCTTTCTCTCTCTCATTCATTTCTCCAGGGCAACCATCCTTTGCAAAAAAAAATCTCAGAAACATTTAATATTTTTCTTCACTTTCACCTTGGCCTCCTCCAACTCTTTTTCTGTATTGCCACCAGAATGATTGTCCTAAAAAATATACCTGATTTTTTTTCTCTCCTCTACCACCTACTTAAAATATGTTATTAATTCCTCACTGCCTACCAGATAAATTCCACCTTGTTCAGCATAGCTCTCAAAGCTCACCATAATTATAAGTCTGCAGACATTTTTCACTCTTTCTCTCTTTTTTTTTTTTTTTTTTTTTTTTTTTCAAAATCTGTTTCCTGCCTCCTGGGTCAAAGTCTCCCAATTTCCAAATGTGTGCAAGGAACCGACCGTTGAGCTGTCTTATCCAGGATGTTTTCTCAGGTCCTATTGAGCCTTCTTCAACTAACCGGTATATATTTACCACTCCTTTCTTTTCTGGAAGATTCTTCCACCAGAGACCCTTCATCATTTCTACTTTTACACATCCAGATGAGCTTGTATATCACACAGCTCTTGCACAACTTCTTGTAATCACATTGCATTCTCATGGTGTTAGCTCTGTGGTCCACCACACATATGTTTTCTCCAGCATAAATCATTGTATGTCACACACAGGTACACACACAGTGTTCAGGACCAGCAATGCACAAAAAATACAGATCAAATTTATCAATAAGTTAGTCAATTAATTGATACATCCATGACAAATGCTATGAGTTTCACACCTATTACTGACTGTACTCCTCCAGCTGAAATTTGTTGTATAATCTTTCTATTAGAATTTGCATATTAGTGTTGATATCTATACATCTCTATCTCCAGTTGTTAAGGATTTTGAGGTACAGCAGTATTTATTTACAACATTACTACTTTAGATGGCTTGAACATGTAACTAATACTTGATGGAATATATGTTTTAAGATGCTTATTCAATAGTACAAATACATGCATGGATGAACATATGTTTATATTATTTGCCCTGTTACTGACTTCCGTATGTGTTTCTTCTATTACTGTCTGTATATGTATTGTGTGTGTGTGTGCATGTGTGTATGAAAGTGAAAGGTGTTTTCATACTTCCATACTCCAGGGTAACAGGTATGTGACAGTGTAACAAACATATGACACACTGGGTTTAACCTTGTAACAAATATGTGACACGATATACTTACATAGAGAAAAGGATTTCTTTAGGCTCACAGACTCGGAGAGTTCAGTTCTTGGTTAGTTTGCCCAGTTGCTTTTAGGCTGTAGCTACACAGAATTTCAGGACAGGAATACAGGGCAAAAGAATCTTCTCACATCTGAGTTGCTGGGAAGAAAAAGTGGGAGAAAGAGGCAATATTCATAGTCTCGCTTACACGGCTGTCCCCCCACTGATATCAGACCTCCCACTAGTCCTTATTCTTCAGTGCTGTGTGTATTTGTCTATATTACATGTTTTAATATTTTTCCATCCTTTTCCTCCTTCTCTTTCGCTCACCACCTTCCACCTTTTGGTCTCCTTCCCGTTTGAAAAAGATCTGTTTCCCTCAGTCACTTTTAGTCTCTGATTCCATTTAATAAGGTTTAAGGAATATGACCATATAAATCATGCCCACTAATTCTGTATCCAAGAGCATGACCATGACTAACCCAGGTGTCCAAGAATCATTCTTTCAAGAGTTTCCAAGGGATCTCCAATTGCACAATCGTGTCCAATGCTCACAGCAAGCATGGCGTTTGGATTAATGCCTAAACCAGAAGGACATCCTGTTTGCAGAGGAGATTTTCTTTTTTTCTACCATAACTGAATTAATGAACTGTAAAACAAATTTGAGGTTAGAAAATACTTATTTACAGGTCTTGAGTGCCACTTCCTGTAACAACTCAAACAATCATCACAACATTGGGAGGAATTTTCTTTATTATCAGTCTATGTTTGTGGTATATACTGTTTACTTTCCTGTGTGCATTTTGTAGATGAACAGAACATGTCCTAATTCCTCCTTTTATCCCATTTCCTTCTCTAAACCCTTTCCTCCATCTCTGGATCCACTTCCTATTTTAGAAAGATCAGCGTCACTACTTCCTATTATGTTTTATTTTGCAGTAGATGGATAATTTGGGCTTCTCATATAAGGGAGTTGAACCATGTGATATTTAAGCTTGTGTGTCTGATTTATTTCCCTTAACATTATGGTCTAATAGTGCATACATTTTCCTAGAGATGACTCAAGTTTATCATTCTTTCTGGCAGATTAGTGCTCCATTTTTGTGTAAATTGAATACTAATCATTCTCTTTATCCATTCATCTGTTGATGGACATTTAGGCTGCTTCCAAGATTGGGCTATTGTGAATTTTGGCACTATAAACATGCGCATGCACAGATCACTCTAATATGGTTATAAGAGGGTAACTTTTATCATCTTCACGGTGCAGATATGGCAGTAGAGACAAAATTGTTTTTAATGTGCTACTCAGCTCATAGTTGACTTGAACCCAACCAATTTAACTAAAAATCTGTGTTCAGCTTCAAGCACTTATACGATTGCAACTTGTGAAAGTGTTTGGGTGTATTATTGGTGATTGAAACCAGGCCCTGACACATGCTATGCAAGCGTACCTCCAGTGAGCTACATCCCCAGCCCTTCAGCCAGCTGTCTGCTGATGTCTGATTTATGAAACAGGAACTTTAGACATTGCCCATGCAAATCCAGCTTGTGACCAAACTTCGACAACAAGCTTTCTTTGCTCTGAAATAAACTGGCTGTGCAGCACGCGTTTGTGGAACCTCACTGTGCATTAAAGATATTTAAATCTAAGCACTGCATCACCACCTCAGCTGCAGCATTTTCATCAAAATCCTGAGTGTATCAGAGAGAGAGAAAAAAGCAAAAGCAAGTCTCAATCTTTCTTTCATCACCTGCTCACCAGAGATGCCCCTGATTTTATGGATCTTTCTCCTCATCTTGCTTCCCTTGACGACGGTATTTTGGATGTTGATGCTTCTCTACTTAAAATAATCCAGTAATTCTACACCAGAAGCAACAAGGATCTTCTTGACCCCCGGAACTCCCAGGGAGAAAGACCTTAAAGAGTTAAAGATGTGGGCGACTCCCACAGCCTGTTTGATGCCCAGGGTGTGTGAAGATCGCCAAGTAGCCCAGGAGGAGGTATTACTGTGCACTTCTGGCATGGTGGCCGCTGTGTGCCCTGTCCTCCTACTCTGGCAGCGGGAGCTCCGTGTCACAGTTGGTTAGCACTGGGATTAGCTGCTCTTTGCATAGGTTGTAGCTGTGGATATGCTTTCTGTAGTGATGGGCCCGGCTGCGGAGATCTATTGGCTGCTGGCTTTGTAAATTTCATTCAGTTTGGTCCAATAGCAGAGGGAGAGCTCCGGAGACAGCAGGACCTGGCTTCTCAATCTCCCTTTTGCTTGCAAACCCGGTTGTTCTCGCGTCTCGGTCTCTCACCACAGATCTCTTACCCAACCCCGGGCTATGTCCTCCCTGCCCCAATTCTGACGTCTTTTTTTTTTTTTTTTCCTCTTCTTCCTTTTCTTCTTCTTCTTCTTCTCCTTCTCCATCCTGCCCACTGACTTTTGAGAAGAGAAACAACGAATTTCCTCCTGATGGTGTTATCCGTGGTCCTTGCATTCCTTTGGATAAGCGAACCCAGCTGGTGTGTGGACATCCTCCGGGATCATACTCCTCGTCCCTGTTCCCTGGAAAAATCTGGATAAGTACAGCGCGCTCTCACTGCCGCTGTCGTGGCCGCGCTGTTCAGGTAGGTACGCTTTTAAAACGCCTCTGGGTTAGCATTTTCCTTCCCCCCGCCCCGTCGTTCTTTTCAAAGCCATCTCAACCTTCTGACTTAACATTTCTCCCTTCCGAAAGGTAATAGTTTATAACTGGCTGGAGACGTTTCACCCCTCCTCTGAGTCTGACATGGATCTCATTTATTTATTTCTTGGATTGTTTGTTTGTTTATTTATGTATCTATTTTCTGCCTTTGGCTTGTAAAATTCAGGGCGAGACTTTTCTTCTTACATCCGCCGCCCCATGTCTCCGTCGTGGGTGGGTGTGTGGACATTTATGTGCGGCCGGTCATGTGCTGCAAGCCGCACGCACACTGCCACAGAGACACCTGATTTTATTGTGACTTTTAAAAAGGAAAAAAAAAAAAAAGGTGTTTTGGGGGGACATTAGGACTGTTTTGGTGCTATCAGCTATTTCATGGCTGGGGTGGGGGGAGGTGTGTGTGTGTGACTCTGTGTGTGTGTGTGTGTGTGTGTGTGTGTGTGTGGTGTGTTTACAAAGTAGCGCTGCCTTCCATACAAATAAACAGGCGAGAGTGGGAGACAGAGAGAGAGAGAGAGAGAGAGAGAGAGAGAGAGAGAGAGAGAGAGAGAGAAAATTATATATCTGCAGTAGCGAGAGGAGGAAGGCAAGCGCCAGTGCCCTGTACACCCAGACTGGTCGGGAAGGCTGGAGTTGTTCAAACTGTGAGCATCGTGGGGCTCTCTTATCTTATTCCTCCTCTCTGTCTGTGTCTCTTTTTTCCTCCCTTCCGAAGAAAAGAGTCAGTTACCACCGCCTGGGGTGCTTTTTGGGGGAAGGGTAGAGGATAACCAGAGTGCAACAGGAAAAACAGGCTTGGCTGGGTTTGCAATAAGCGATTTTTTTTTTCCTCCTTCATCTGCTCCTCTCGGATGAGATGAAGGTTTGTGTGAGCCTCAGAATAACGCACTTGATTGATTAGGGCCTGGGCGCGCTTGCTGGGCAGCCTTGGGGCGTCTTGGAGACCTCGGGTGAAGACCCAATCTTGGTAGCTTAGCGCTGGCCGCCTTTGGAAAGATGGGGAGCAGATGCCCGCAACACTTCTCCCCTGCGTGCGCCTGGGTCTGGGCCGTGGAAGGGTGTGCAGGGCTTGCTTTATGAGCACTGCTGGTCGGTTTTGTTTTCTTTGCGAGCCGACCTCTGCCTTTCCGAGGGGCCGTGCGCTCCTTGCTCGCTGCAGCCGGAGCAGAACCCTTGAGCTTTTGCAGAGAAACAGAAAAGTTGGTAACGGGAAGGTTTTAAGGACAGGCTCCTTGGTTCAGGTCTCAGGGGAGGCCAGGTCCCCAGCTGCTGCCTGCCAGCCCAGTAGCTTCCCTTCCTGGTCGTGGGGCGCACAATCCACCTGTCCCCGACGCGGACGCCGGAGCGGGAACAGGGGCGTCCAGAAGACCCATCGTCATCATCGCCAGCACCACAACCCACAGCACCCCCATCTTGCAGCCATTCCTCGCGCTCTTCGCATTCACTTCTCCCCCCAGATCGATTTCCTTGGGCCCATTCTCAACACCCTCTCTCCCGGGGGCCCCCAATTCCTGCGCAGCTGGAGCCTCTCTATTGGGAGGTTGGCTGGAAGATCCCCCAAGCCTTGGCGGAGGAGGGACTGGGGGTGGGTGGGCCGTGGGCTGAGAGCGAGACCACCGGGAGAGACAGAGAACTTGACTCTGGTGCTGATGTGGGGGAGCCCCAATCCTGCACCCTGCAATCCACTCGGGGGAGGGGCTAACCTGGGCCAGCGGCGGGGGCCGGGGAGGAAGGGGAGGATGGAGGGAGGAAGGGAAGGAGGTGGCATTTGGCTGCGGGGGCTGGGGGCACTGCTGTGGGAGTTGAGGCCCAGCACCCCTTCCGTGCGCCTCCACTCCTAGGCTGTTCCCTTTCGCTCCCCTTCTGCTACAGCCACTGGGGCTGTCTGTCAGTCTCCTGAACACCCCCTCCATCCCTGCCCCTCCGCAATCTGTCCCAGTTCTTTCGCACCTGGGAGAACCAGGTGGTGTTAGGGGGTCTCCCGCCCCCTAAGCCAGGCTTTGCGCCCTTTTGTACCCACCCCTCCACCCCGGAACAAGCCCGGGTGCCCGCGCACCCCTGGACCGGGACGCACGACTCCGTCGCCTGCTCCCAGTCAGACACAGCGCCCTTTCTTCCGGGGCTGCGGGGGAGGGAGATGGGGGGTTCGCCCCAACCTCCTCCGGCTCCTCACCCCCCAGCTCAGCCCGGCCCTGAGCCTTGTTAGAGCTGCCTGGAAACGGAGGTCCAGCTTGGAAGAACGAGGGGCGCACGAAGAGGTCGCCTTCTGCATCACCCCCTCCCCTTCCCCAAAGGATTTTTTTTTTTTTTTTGGATGCGGTTTTCCTTTTTCTCTTGGTGCTTCTTCCAAAGCGAGCGGCGGGTGCGGGCGTCTTTTGTGTTTATTTTTGGATCCACTGTGCTGACCTGTCTAGGGTGAGGAGGCCAGGGGGTGCGCTGGACGCCGCTTGGCGGGGGGGCGATGGTAAGGGAGGAGGCGTGAGCATCGCCCCTGTCGTGCGGTGGCTGGGAGCTGGGAGCTTGCAGCTTGCAGCTTGCAGCTTGCGACAGACCTGGGCGCGCGCGCGTCACCAGTGCAACCCCGCGATGCCACGGACCGATGTGGGGTGAGCGGAGGGGAGGCGGGTATCCCCATCTGTCATCCGCACCCAACTTAAGATATTTGGGGTGATGGTGGGGTGGGCGGGTGGGGGGGGTGCTTGGACTAAACAGGTGCTGTTCTTCCTCTCTGAATCCACAAGGTGGTAGCATAGATTCTTGCTAGCTTTTGGGTATTTCATTTTAATTATTATCATTCTTATTATTTTCTATTTGGTCATTGGAGGGGGAAAGGGTTTTCTGCGTTCCCCTCCTGCAGTTTTCTGGGAAGGGATCTGTGGTTGGCGAGGGTGAGCGCTGAGGGAATCTTCGCCCGGATCCGTTCGAGTGACACGGGGTGAGCTCAGGATCCCACGTTAGAATCCGGGCCCACCGTGATTTAAGGGGCAAGGGTGGGGGGCGCAGAGAAAAAAAAAGGAAGGAAAGAAAGTTTACAGAGACCTAGTTATCCTGACGAGGCAGAATGGCCGGTTTGTGTAGGCGTTCTGCGGCGAGCATAGAAGGACATGTCCAAGCTCTGGCAGGGACATTTGGGATTGAAATTATATATCCAGAATATAAAGACCGGCTCTAGGGATGAAGGAGGCAGATTTGCAGGATGAGAGGGGCGGCGAGGATTCAATCCCAGCGCTGAGCGTTTCTCTGAGGGCAAAGCAGAGCCGGGAGGACTGACGGGATGGCGAAGCAATCTGCATTTTTGTGGGGGCTGCCTTCAGGAGGGGCGAATTATATCACGCCTTTAATTGGCTGTGCGTGAGGCGAGAACAGTAATCCTCTAAATCCTTAGCAAAGATGTCCCTGTGTAGACGGAGCAGAATGTGGGCTCGTGCTAATGATACAAGAGTTGCAGTAATAATCCCGAATTTCCAGGAAAAAAAAGAAATTTAAAATTTTCCTGAAATTAAGGACACACAAATTTCATTGAGATTTCTGCAAATTCGCGTTTTCTCAGATGTGCCTCAGAGAGTTCTATGACTCAAGAAAATGTAGCATGAATGACTATATATAGATACATATGTATACAAACATGTTTATCATATAACATCTGTACCATCTATATGTGTATCTATACATCTGTATGTATTTGTCTATCTATCTATATATGTATATATATAGAGAGAGAGAGAGAGAGAGAGAGTTTTTGACCTGTAAGGATATAATCAGGACCAGTTATAGCCTACGGAAAACTACTTTATGAGTTTTTAAATCACTATATTAAGAGTTTTTTGTTTGTTTGTTTATTTGCTTGTTTTTCAGAACACAATGATTTCCAATGGGGGGTATGTAGAAATTCTCCTTGTACTGTAATGGCCACATTTGGGTGTTATTTTGAAGGTACTTTGATCAGTTCTAGGGTAGAAGAAGTGTTGCTCTGCTTTGCATTTCTTGAAAACTAAGATAATTCTGGAATACATAGCCTTAAAACTGGAAAATCAGTTAATTTTCAACCAAAACTAAGCATAGAAAAGGCACCTGGTAAAGTGATTGATTGCTATGAAAGTTAGATAAATCAGACGACCAGAGGTGCTTAAAGGGACCATGAAAGAGAATGGGGTGTATTGCAAATTCATACCTTTTAGACCCAGAATGTAGAATGGTCATAAGGATGGATATGAAACGTTTTCTGTACTTTTGAACTTGGCTTTTCTTTGCCCCTTTGCAGTAATTTGTGGGATGTGTCTGTATGTACTACACATAAAGGCACATGTAACGTCTGAATTGGCAAAAAAAACTCATTTTGGGAATGTGCAGGGGTGTCCTCAAGAACACTTCATAATATTCTGGCTTTTTCTGTCCTCTGATCGAAAATATGGAAAAGTTCTCACAGAAATAAACATCCAGGTGTAGGTCAAAGGGCCTCAATTTAGCCTTTTCTTATGGTAATTGGGATTCCATTATTTTCAATCTTGCTTAGTTACATGTTTGAGGACAGTTAATAATGTAATTAGTTCATGAAATTTATTATTTCCCCATAAAGGCAATGAAGAAGCTATTTTAAATTCTATAGTGAATTCACTATGAAGATTGCTTTACATGTTTAAAACATTTTTTCCTGCCCAACAGGAGAAGAGGTCATTTTAGTGTGTGAAATACAATTGTAAATTCAAGTTTACTTTTTTTGTCTAGCAAGACCTAGTACATTCCTGTATTCCTCCTGTAATGCTTTCTGCTTTTCTAAAAATATATGTGGTAATCTCAAATGAGATAAGATAATCCCATGTTTTCATCTTAGTTTAAGTCATCCCCCCCTTTTTTCCCTTTTCAAGGATGGGTTTCATCTTCCACTTAATTTTGTTAATAAATTGTCCTGTAGACAAAGCCTCTGCA